TCGTGCAGCTGCCCCTCCTCTTCCCTGCCCCCAAAACGGCCCAATTGGTCGTCTGCTTAACCCCTATATTTCAGAGGAAGGGAGTGGCAAAACTGCCTCTGAATACTTCTTGACTAAGAAAATCCTATGGAACTCAGAGGGTCGCTATAAGTTGACAAGCGACTTGGAGGTGCATGCATACACACAGGCATTTCTTGAAAGTGTAAGATTATATGCACTTCTATCCTAAAATTAATTTGGTTGTGCACTTATTTTCTGTTAACCAAATAGTTATTAAAGTATGTTCCAATTGTGTTTTTGCAGTACATAGTGGTACACAGCATGGAGCCAATCCAGGGCTGACCTAGAGAAGAACAGGAAACATCTCTGGACCCCCAAGTCAAGGAACGTAGGGCCTTTGCAGACTGCAAGAAATAGTGCAAATTGAGTCCACTTTAAGGGTTAGGGTTAGGGTTAGAGTTAGGGAATCATGGGAACTGTATTTTATTGTGGCACCAGAGCTCTCTGACAGAGAAGGATCAATGTCTCAGAAAAAAAAAACAATTCCCATGATTCCCTAGCACTAACCCTAACCCTTAAAGTGGACTCAATTTGCACTATTTCTGGCAGTCTGCAAAGGCGTTTCAAAGGCCAGTTAAGTTGTCTGGGCATCTAATTCTCTGAACATCTTACAAACATCTCTCCTGTTCCATTAAAATTTTCAATTAAATAACTAACACCTTGCTGCATTTTCATGGCATTCAGAATCAGCAGCCTGAGGCAGCCCTCTTACTCTTATCAAAAAATAACTCCAGGAATGTTGTCATTATGTGCCTTTTCTCCAAATTATGGTGCCCGCATAATAGGGGGGATTTATTTGGAAAAGGTTTCTCATTGTCTTCCTCTGAGGCTGAGTATGTGTGACTTGCTCATGGACACCCAGTGGGTTTCCGTAGTGGAGTGAAGATTGAAATCTTGGTCTCTGGGAGTCCTAGACCAACACAGACAATTACATCAGTGTCCATGATACTGAGATGGAACAATCTTTCAAACTCAGTTTGGCTCAGGTTCTCATGCTCCTCCTATAAGTTTGTTCTGCCTCCTTCCCACACCAGACTGAATCCCCCCCCCAATCTACACACA